AAAGGGCCATCCTCCTATATATCTAGGAGAGGGAAGTGGGAATTGCGTACATTTGTAGTGACCAACTCAAAGTCACAAACATAGATTCTTGACTAAAATGGAAAGCTGGCTCCCTGAAAAGACCAGTAATATAGGCAAGGCTTTGGTGAGTCTGATCAAGAAGAGGGAGGAGATAGTGTAAAAGGTGATGTCAGTCAGCTCAGAGAAGATAGGTGAAGATAGGAGAGATTGTTCTGTATGATTCTATTACAGTATGTTTGAAAATTTGGGACATTATAGATGATTTTCTTCGAAAATGGTCATAAAGGTGGATCAGTATGCATGCTAAGATGTTTTTCAAAAAAATATGTGAAGATCTACCAGAAAAATACACTGATCCCAGTTACTTTTATTAAATACTAGGGAGTTCTACCATCTCACCCAGAAATAGATATTAGATGCACAATAAATGTTTGTGGAATAAAATGAAGGGACAAAAGGTATCATCAAACTGATACTAAATTCAGATGAAGATGTAACTCATAGGCCATTAACACTGGAGAACATTGATGGCAATTCAGTTCAGTCGCTCAGTCGTGTCCAACTCTTTGTGACCCCATGGACTGTAGCACATCAGGCTTCCCTGTCCATCACCAACTCCTGGAACTTACTCAAACTGAAGTTCATCACATTGATGATGCCATCCGACCATCTCATCCTCTGTCGTCCCCTTCTCCTCCCAACTTCAATCTTTCCCAGCATAAGGGTCGTTTCCAATGAATCGGTTCTTTGCATCAGGTGGTCAAAGTACTAGAGTTTCAGCTTTAGCATCAGTCCTTCCAATGAATGTTCAGGACTAATTTACTTTAGGATGGACTGGTTTGATCTCCTTGCAGTCAAAGGGACTCTCAAGAGTCTTCTCCAACACCACAGTTCAAAAGCATCAATTCTTCCATGCTCAGCTTTCTTTATGATCCAACTCTCACATCCGTACATGACTACTGGAAAAACCATAGCTTTGACTAGACGGACCTTTGTTGGTAAAGTAATGTCTCTGCTTTTTAATATGCTGTCTAGGTTGGTCATAGCTTTTCTTCCAAGGAGCAAGTGTCTTTTAATTTCATGGCTGCAGTCACCATCTGCAGTGATTTTGGAGCCCAAGAAAATATAGTCTCTCACTGTTTCCATTGTTCCCCTGTCTATTTGCCATGAAGTGATGGGACTGGATGCCATGATCTTAGTTTTCTGAATGTTGAGTTTTTAAGCCAACACTCTCATCTTTCAGTTTCATCAAGAGGTTCTTTAGTTCTTCTTCACTTTCTGCCATAAGGATGGTGTCATCTGCGTATCTGAGGTTATTGATGACCTGATGGTCAAAACCGAAATCAGATTGATTATATTCTTTGCAGCCAAAGATGGAGAAGCTCTATACAGGTAGCAAAAACAAGACCAGGAGCTGACTGTGGCTCAGATCATGAATGCCTTATTGCCAAATTCAGACTTAAATTGAAGAAAGTAGGGAAATCCACTAGACCATTCAGATATATCATAATGAAATCTCTTATGATTACACAGTGGGAGTGACAAAGAGATTCAAGGGATCAGATCTGATAGAGTGCCTGAAGAACTATGGACCGAGGCTCATGGCATTGTACAGGAGGCAGTGATCAAGACCATCCCCAAGGAAAAGAAATGCAAAAAGGCAAAATGGATGTTTGACAAAGCTTTACAAATAGCCCAGAAAAGAAGAGAAGCGAAAGGCAAAGGAGTAGAGGAAAGGTGTATCCATTTGAATGCCGAATTCCACAGAATAGCAAGGAGAGATAAGAAAGACTTCCTCATCGATCAATGCAAAGAAATGAGGAAAACAATAGAGTGGGAAAGACTAGAGATCTCTTCAAGAAAATTAGAGATACCAGGGGAACATTTCTTGTAAAGATGAGCACAATAAAGGACAGCAATGGGATGGACCTAACAGAAGCAGAAGATATTAAGAAGAGGTAGCAAGAATACACAGAACTATACAAAAAAGATCTTCATGACCCAGATAATCACAGTATGATCACTCACATAGAGCCAGACATCCTGGAATGCAAAGTCAACTGGGCCTTAGGAAGCATCACTATGAACAAAGCTAGTGGAGGTGATGGAATTCCAGTTGAGCTATTTCAGATCCTGAAGATGATGCTGTGATAGTGCTGTACTCAATATGCCAGCTAATTTGGAAAACTCAGCAGTGGCCACAGGACTGGAAAAGGTCAGTTTTCATTCCAATCCCAAAGAAAGGCAATGCCAGAGAATGTTCAAACCACCACACAATTGCACTCATCTCACATGCTAGCAAAGTGATGCTCAAAATTCTCCAAGCCAGGCTTCAGCAATACATGAACCATGAACTTCCATATGTTCAAACTGGATTTAGAAAAGGCAGAGGAACCAGAGATCAACCTGCCAACATCTGCTGGATCATCAAAAAGCAAGAGAGTTCCAGAAAAATGTCTACTTCTGCTTTATTGACTACACCAAAGCCTTTAACTGTGTGGATCACAACAAACTGGAAAATTCTAATAGAGATGGGAATACCAGACCACCTTACCTGCCTCCTGAGAAATATGTATGCAGGTCAAGAAGCAACAGTTCGAACTGGACATGGAACAACTGACTGGTTCCAAATCAGAAAAGGAGTATGTCAAGGCTGTATATTGTCATCCTGCTTATTTAACTTATATGCAGAGTACATCATACAAAATGCCGGGCTGGATGAACATTGATGTAACTGTTCTAAAATAAACAAGCAAGTAGAACCTGTCACTGTAATAAAAGTACCAATCCAGATGTGGTCAGATGTGGTCTTCTGAAGGAGGTATGCCTTACTTGCTTTGTTTAAAGTTGTAACCTTCCCCTACAGCACCCCCAAACCGCTGTTCCCTGTTCTGTTTCCTCTTGCAGTGTGTTTCATCCTTTAACATAGAATGTAATTATTGTCTTCCCCCCTGCTACATGTAAATTCCACAAGGGTGGGGCTGCCTTTTGAAAATCTTTAAAAAAATTTTGGTTTGTTTTATTCACTGATATTAGCCAAGTACCTAGAACAGTGGGCACTTTGTAAATAAAAGTTGTAAAAAAAAAGACTTAATTCTCAACGCAAAATGGGATCCTGTACTGGATCCTGGAACAGAAAAGGATGTTAGCAGAAAATGTGACATTTGAATAGTCTTTAGTTTTGTTATTAGAACCATACCAGTGCTACCTTAGTTTTGATCAATATACTTTGGTTGGATAAGATGCTAACAGGGGAAGCTGGGTGAAGGGTGTATGGAGACTCTGTATGCTGTCTTTACAACTCTGCTGTGACTCTGAAAGTATTTCAAAAGAAAATCTTTGGGATCCCTTAAAAAGTTGGAAAGAAGTTATCTTTTGTGTCTTGTCAATGAGAAATTGGACGAAAGTTACTCCCTGGTATGCGATGTGAAGCGTTAGGGAAAGCAGAGTTCACTCTTTCGGGTCCCTGTATAGTTTATTACACTGAAACAGTGCTGCAACAAGTCATATTCAACATCACCAGCCATGTGTAAGAGTGAGGAAGGAGAACAGCAGTAACAGTTGACTCTCAAAACTGCCGAAATATTTCTTTAAGAAGTTTTTCTTTCGTGATCTCAAAGTCACTTTCAGATGTGGTTTCTTAAGTTCCACGTACTTGACCTCTAGTCACTCTGACTCCTCAGTTGCCCATCAGAAGCCCCGAGGGCAGGGTGGTTGTCCGTCAGCGCATGGGCAGGGGACAGCATGCAACCATCCTGGTGCCCTGCGTGGTTCATGCTGCCTGCCAGCTCACCTGACTCATCAGTGGGACCTTAACATAGAGGAATTTTGCCTCATTCGAGTGGAAAAAGATAATCACCCAACCTCATGCAAAGAATGAAGGGAGGTCACCAATCAAAAAATGGGCCAAAGAACTAAACAGACATTTCTCAAAAGAAGACATACAGATGGCTAACAAACACATGAAAAGATGCTCAACATCACTCATTATCAGAGAAATGCAAATCAAAACCACAATGAGGTACCATTTCATGCCAGTCAGAATGGCTGCTATCCAAAAGTCTACAAGCAATAAATGCTGGAGAGGATGTGGAGAAAAGGGAACCCTCTTACACTGTTGGTGGGAATGCAAACTAATACAGCCACCATGGAGAACAGTGTGGAGATTCCTTAAAAAACTGGCAATAGAACTGCCATATGACCCAGCAATCCCACTCCTGGGCATACACACCGAGGAAACCAGATCTGAAAGAGACACGTGCACCCCAGTGTTCATTGCAGCACTGTTTATAATAGCCAGGACATGGAAGCAACCTAGGTGCCCATCAGCAGCCGAATGGATAAGGAAGCTGTGGTACATATACACCATGGAATATTACTCAGCCATTAAAAAGAATTCATTTGAATCAGTTCTAATGAGATGGATGAACCTGGAGCCCATTATACAGAGTGAAGTAAGCCAGAAAGATAAAGACCATTACAGTATACTAACACATACATATGGAATTTAGAAAGATGGTAACGATAACCCTATATGCAGGACAGAAAAAGAGACACAGATGGATAGAACAGACTTTTGGACTCTGTGGGAGAAGGCGAGGGTGGGATGATCTGAGAGAATAGCATTGAAACATGTATATTATCAAGTGTGAAACAGATCACCAGCCCAGGTTGAATGCATGAGACAAATGCTCGGGCCTGGTGCACTGGTATGACCCAGAGGGATGGGGTGGGGAGGGAGGTGGGAGGGGGATCAGGATGGGGAACACATGTAAATCCACGGTTGATTCATGTCAATGTATGGCAAAAACCATTACAATATTGTAAAGTAATTAGCCTCCAACTAATAAAAATAAAATAAAATAATAGAAAAAAAAAGAATGAAGGGAGGTCAGTCATGTAAACATTTGTCTTTTTTATGATGTAATGATGTTTCTCTGTTTCTGTACAGTTATGATGAAAATGGTACTCTGTTGCAGGAACATCAGGAGAACATTCTGGGTAACACCATGCAAAGTGTGGTTGCATTGCTCAACAATCTGGTTGCCTGCAAAGATTCGAATATGAAGCTACTTTACGAGCAAGGTAAATGCTTCTTGGAATTCATCTTTAATTATGTTGAATTTTGCCTATTTATAAGTTTCCTCATCTCACATAGTAGACAGTTAACAAGTACTACTTAGAGCTGATCAATCAAAATAGATGCTTAAAGGTCTACAAATATGATAATATTACCAGCACAAATGGGAAGTCTGGTTGGATTGTGATAGTGTCTCAGAGTTAATTCATTCTTGTTCATGATACAAAATCAATAGGTACTCCTTACAGATGATAGATCAAGAAATGGAAATGTAAGCATCCTGTGTAGACTTTTTGCTACCAATCAAAATAAAAATATATATGCTCAAAATCACCTTGGAAAATGAGACTGAATGAGTTGAGGGTGGCTTTACTTTACATCTTATGCATATCTGTAATACTGAAATGAAAAAGTTTTAGAAGTTTTTAAAGAACTCAATTGAAGAGTTCAATTTTTTGTTTGTTTATTTGTTTTAGGTTTAAAACCAAATTGGGAGGGCAGTACAGAAATTTCCCATATAACCCCTGTCCCCACACATGGAGAGCATACCCCGTTATCAGTATCACTCACCAAAGTGGTATTTTTTTTATTTTTTTGCCAAAGAGAAATGTACATTGATATAATAATCACCCAGAGTTCATAGTTTACATTCAGGCTCACTCTTGATATTGTACTTTCTCTGTGTTTAGACAAATGTATAATGACATGTGGGGCTTCCCCAGTGTGACTCAATGATAAGGTGCTCGCCTGCAATGCAGGGGGAGCAGGAGACACAGGTTCAGTCCCTTGGTCAGGAACATCTCCTGGAGGGGGGCAGAGCAACCCACTCTAGTGTTCTTGCCGGGAAAATCCCATGGACACAGGAGCCTAGCAGGCTACTGTCCATGGGGTCGCGAAGAGTCAGACGCAGCAGAAGCGACTGAGCATGCATGCATAATGACATCCATCCATCATTATCATATTGTACGGTGTGTTTTCATCGGCTTACCAGTCCTCTGTGCTCTACCTGTCCATCCCCACTGCCTTCTACAACCTCTGATTTTTACTGTCTACACAGTTTTGCCCCTTCCAGAACATCATAAAGTTAGAATCATACAGTATGTCACCTTTTCACACTGGCTTCTTTCACTCAGTAATACTAATTTAAGGTTCTTCCATGTGTTTTCATGGTTTGATGCCTCATTTCATTTTAGTACTGAATAAAATTCTCTGTCTGGAGGTACTGCAGTTTGTTAATCCATTCACCTAATGAAGGACATCTTGGTTGCTTCCAGGTTTTGGCAATTATGAATAAAGCTGCTATAAATATACGTATTAAGATTTTTGTGTGGACATAAGTTTTGAACTCCTTTAGGTAAATACTGAAGAGTGTACTTGCTAATAGTATGCTAATTATTTCATTTTTTAAGGGATGCCAAACCATCTTCCAGTGTGGCTGTACCATTGTGCATTCCCAAAGTGAATGAGAGTTTCTGTTCCTCAATACCCATGCCAGTGTTGGGTGTTGTCAGTGTTCTGGGCTTTGGATGTTGTGTTAAGTGGTCATGGTAGCTCCTTGTTTTAATTTCCCTTTCCCTAATGGTATACAGTGTGAAGCATTTTCTTATATTCTTGTTTCCCATTTGTGTATCTTCTCTGGTGGAGGTCTCTGCTAAGATCTTTAACTTAATTTTTAATTGGATTATTTTTTCTTCTTGCTCTTGGGTTTCAAGAGTTCTTTGCATATGTTGGATAAAGTCCTTTATCAGATGTGTCTTTTGCAAATATTTTCTCCCAATATGTGGATTGTGTTTTAATTCTTTTGGAGAGCCAAAGTTTTAATTTTAGTTAAGTCCAGTTTATCAGTTTTTTAAAATGGATTGTGTCCATGGTGTTATTATCTCAGAAGTCTTCACCATACCCAATGTCATCTAGGTTTTCTCCTACATTATCCTCTAGGACTTTTGTAGTTTTGGATTTTTACAATTAGGTCTGTGATCCATTGTGAGTTAATTTTTTTGAAGGGTATAAGGTAGATTTTTTTTTTTTGTATGTTGCTGTTACAGCACTGTTTGATGGGGAGACTGTCTTTGCTCCATTGTGTTGCCTTTCCTCCTTTGTCAAAGTTCATTTAACTGTATTTATCCAAGTCTGTTACTGGGCTCTCTATACTCTTCCATTGACCTATTTGCTTTATACTTTCACCAGTACCCACTGTCTTGATGACTGTAGCTTTAAGGTAAGTCTAAGTCGGGTGGCATTAGTCCTTCAACTTTGTTCTTCTTCTTAATATAGACTTTAGAATCAGTTTATTGATACTCATAAAATAACTTTCTTGAACTTTGATTGGGATTGCATTGAATCTATAGATAAAAGTTGGAATATTGTTACATCTTAAACACAATGTTTACTACTTTTATATTAGTAAAATCTCTCATTTGAATGTTCATGAAGATAAGACTTGAATAGGATCAATGAATAAAAAAATCCAAGATCAGTGGATAAAATCGTTAAGTCATGGTTCTGATTTTCCCCCCAACATTTAGAGTTGTGTTTCTATGTGGTCACTATACCTAAATGTTGGCAATGTTTTTTTTCTCCCTTAAGAAGAATGTGCATTCTCAATGATAATAAATATTGCCAAGAGTTGAGGGATTTTAGTACATTGAAACATTTATCCTTTTATACAGCAGCATCCTATTCTGTTTTATGGGTTCATTTCAGTTCAGTCACTCAATTGTGTCCGACTCTTTGCGACCCCATGAATCGCAGCACACCAGGCCTCCCTGTCCATCACCAACTCCTGGAGTTCACCCAAACTCATGTCCGTTGAGTTGGTGATGCCATTCGACCATCTCATCCTCTGTCGTCCTCTTCTCCTTCCTCCTTCAATCTTTCCCAGCATCAGGATCTTTTCCAGTGAGTCAGTTATTCGCATCAGGTGGCCAAAGTATTGGAGTTTCAGCTTTAGCATCAGTCACTTCCAATGAATACTCAGTACTGATTTCCTTTAGGATGGACTGGGTTGATCTCCTTGCAGTCCAAGGGACTCTCAAGAGTCTTCTCCAACACCACAGTTCAAAAGCATCAGTTCTTCGGCGCTCAGCTTTCTTTATTGTCCAACCCTCACATCTATACATGACCACTGGAAAAACCATAGCCTTGACCAGACGGACCTTTGTTGGCAAAGTAACATCTCTGCTTTTTAATATGCTGTCTAGATTGGTCATAACTTTCCTTCCAAGGAGTAAGTGTCTTTTAATTTCATGGCTGCAGTCACCATCTGCAGTGATTTTGGAGCCCAGAAAAATAGTCAGCCACTGTTCCACTGTTTCTAAACCTGTAATCTAATGGATATGGGTAATTTCCAATCTTTTGCTATTGAAGACAATTCTTAAGCACACATAACCTTCACATGGGAGCAGGACTATCTGCAGAGTAAATTCCTGGGGTTAGAATCACTAGATCAAGGGGTATCTGCTGCTGCTAAGTTGCTTCAGTTGTGTCCAACTGTGCGACCCCATAGACGGCTGCCCACCAGGCACCCCTGTTCCTGGGATTCTCCAGGCAAGAACACTGGAGTGGGTTGCCATTTCCTTCTCAAGTGGTGTATGCGTCTGTAACTTCCATGGGTATCGACAGGTTGTTGTAAGCAGCCCGACAGTTTATACTTCCATCAGGGCACATGAGATTACTTGTCTCTGGATCTAAGCGTGTGTTATGTTTTCCCATTTGTTTGACTTTCTTTCTTTATAGTTTTCTTTATATAGGCCATATGCATTGCTTCCTGTTTATCTCTCCCCAGGTATTTTATCCTTTTTTACTTGCTATCGGAAATAAGGAATTTTCTACCAGTTTAGTTTTCAATTATTTTTTTAAGTATGTGTTTGAAAGTTTTTTATTTCCATTTATTAACTTTGTCTATAGGTTTATTCTCTTATTACTTTCCATGGTGATGACTTAGATGATTCTCTTTACTTTCTTGTTATGTAATAATAACGATTGCAAATAGAAACAGTCTTTAATTTTTATAGTTCTACTTTTTCTCTCTAGTCCAATTGCAAGATTCAAAGAGAATGGTATAGAGGATATCTTGGTATTGCCTCAGAATCTTTTTTTTCTGGTTAAGGAAGTGTTTACATTTTATCTTTTGCAATCAAGAATAAATAATAGTAAATAAATAATGATGACTTTTGACCCCTCTGGAAATGATCAAGTGATTTTTCCTTGGATCTATTCATGTCATGGATTATTAATAGAGTATCTAATATGCAGCCACCCTAGTTGCATCAGTTTGGATCAGTAAGCACAGTTAATTGTGATATAATATTCATTAATTGTGCTGCTTCAAGTTTTTGTTAATCTTTTATTCAAGATTTTCCTTTGCTGTTTATAAGTGATTTACCTATAGTTTTGTTTCTTGTTTCTTTTCTGCTGGATTTTAGTGTTATTGCTATATTGCTTCTTTTTAAGGAAGTTTTCTTTCTTCCTTTGGCTTTGGAACAGTTTAGATATCTTAGATATTACCTTTTAAAAGTTTTATAGAAGTCCCTTGTGAAGCCATCTGGCTTGCTTTCTTTCTTGAAGGTACGGTAGCTGTGATAGCTTTTTGACACCATTCTCTATTTCCACAGTGATAATAAATCATTTTTCATTTTCCCATCTTTTATAGAGTCAGTTATAGGATATTATATTTTCCTAGAATGTCTTCATTTCACACACACTTTCAAATCTATAGACTTGGACAGAATACCTTCTCGTAATTCTTTTGTTTTCTTAGGTTTCAGAAGTTAACTTCCTGCTTCCATTTATATATATATTTTATATATGTATTTAAATATATTATATATATATTTATATATAATGCATATATTCAAAAATATATATATATTATATATGTATTTGCACTTTTGTAATTTTATTGATTAGTTAAAATAATGGTTTTAACTATTATGTGTGCATTTGTGTGCATATAGTATTTAGGCCAGTTTGGGAATTTGCATATTAGTCCTAGTTTAAAAAAAAT